AGAAAAGGCAACCTATGCTCGTTCAAGGTCCACGGAAGGACAAAGCTACTGCAAGAACTTGACAAGCAAATTACATTACTGGTCATGATCTAATCCAGTGCATGACTAGACTTTAGGGCACGACTGGATCCACGGCATGAGCAGGTCTCAACCGAGCAAGTGTCTGCCGACCAGGTCTCTTCCGCCGACCAGGCTTATTCTGCCGACCAGGTCTATTCTGCCGATCAGGCCTATCCTGCCGACCAAGTCTCTTTCGTCGACCAGATCGGATAACTGTACGATAGCAAAGGTCAGCAGCACGTAGCAGCTGAACAAACGTACTCCTCTCATTTACTATTTGGTACATCATTAAATAGTATTAATATGAACGTAGTTAAAAAATGAAGACACCTTACTCCTACTTTAGAGTTCCGAAATTTAACTTCATCCCAACATTTTTGTTGTACTATAAAAGGATACATCATTAAATAATAAATATTATTTTATTGGGTAGACTCCACATGCTATTCTTGACGTTGATTTGATAAAAGGAAATTATTTTGACTTGTGAGGACCAAAACTTTGTCGTCACCACCACTAAAAACTATATTTTTGTATCGTCAAATATTTAACAATGGTTACTTATAAACAAATATTACTGTGGAAAAGTTTCCATACCTAACTAGAAAATTTGGCCTAATTTTTCCATAAAAAATCTTCCAAAACTCATCAGTACTCATTGAATTATGTTTTATTCAATGCCCTTTATTATTCCAAGTTCCAGTCTAAACCCCTTCTCTTCCCAAAATGCCTTTTCAAATCAAAAACTCCTCACCACTCAATATATATAAATGCACAGTACTATTGAAAACTGCCATCATATTTCACATCCCCTCACATCAATGGGAGACTTAATAACCAGTGGAGAGAAATGGATAGGTCACTACAGCAGCTCTCACAGAATACTCCTTCCCTGGCCAGAGCTTTCGACTCTGCCGCTAACATGGTCGCCACTTCCCTCGACTCTAAAGGTATTTCCACCGCCCTCAAATAGTTTTCCTCATATTGTGACAATCCCATTCAATAATTTTCTTTGCTGTTGGAAGAGGCACTGTTGAGAAAGTACAACAATGTTGCAACAAACTTGGAAGTCTTGGAGGAGTTCGGGTGCACGGCCCTGCATGAAGTGGATGCGACGTCGATGAGCCAACATCCACTTCTCTGTCACGAGTTATTCGATCGCATTGTGTTCAACTTCCCGCATGTTGGGTTTCAATACTTTAGAGAACATGACTACCAGCAAATTGAGTGAGTATATATGTACATAGAAATATAGTCATACTAAACCCTAGTTTTGGAATCAAACATTATTAACGGATTTGAGAAGAGGAAAGAAGAGAAAGAAAAACTACCAAAAATTCTAAAATTTTCGGCATGACATCGATTAGTTTAAACTTTTAGATTGATACACTTTATAAATAGAGTAGCAATATAATCTTGTGTTTCAATTCTTGTAATATCATTTCCTCGCTGGAAGGACTTGTACTATTTTTCAATTCCAGAAACAAGAAAAAGTATTAAAACAATAATTACACCAAACGAATTTATTTTTGAGTTTTGTGTTTGGTAATTAAGTTTTTATTAACTACTGCTTCAACACTTAACTATTTTGCTTGGAACTATTTGAAACTAAAAATAAGATTGTTATAAAAAACAGGATTTAACCTAGCTATATATCAGTTAAATAACTAAAAAAACTCAAAAGTTTAAACTTCAACTACAGTAAATTTAATCATTTATCTAGGTTTAAAAATAAATGAAAATTTAGTAAGGTTTAGGTTAGATTATAAACTTGTTTGGTTGAGCTAGGTTTAAAAATAAATGAAAATTCTATGAATTAGGTTGGCTCAAAGGTTCACCTAAAATAATTTTGGGTTGAATCCAACCAACTCGATTTTATTATTAATTTTAAAATTATCTTTTTAGTCACCATACAAAATATATATGGTTATATTTATTTTAATTTTATATCGTTCAATAATTCTTTATGATTTTTTTTTTTTACAAAGGTTTTTAAAAACGACCTTTTAAAGTTTATTTTAGTGTACTTTTTCACCACGTAAATAAAAATCGACCTACGAATCTTGATTGAGTGTTAGACAAAGTATAAATAAATATTTAAGATATTATCATATACTTTCTTTTTGTCCTACAATACTTTGCCGCATAATCCGAACAAACCCAATCCAAATAACTTCGACCCGAATAATTGGGTTGGGTCTAAATAAAAGTAACTCAACCCATGAACGCCCCTACTTATTCTATAAATTGACTGCACCTGTTCGGGTTTTGACAGACTCCACCGGGATGTAGTGAGAGGGTTCCTGAAGAATGCTGAGCAAGTGGTGGGGTTTTGACAAGACTTCGCACCCTTTCAGTAAATGGGAGATTGAGAAACTAGCAGAAGGAGAGGGTTTGTTTCTGAAAAAAGAGGCAAAATTCATGCGATGGGAGTATCCAGGTTATGTCAATAAGAGAGGCAATGGGCCTCACAGCAATCGCAGTTTCCCTGTGGGATCTTGCAGCACTTTCAAATTTGGCAAGTCCCTTAATTAGCTGCTGACTTTACACATCCCTCACACCATATATAATACATATCTATGAATTTTGAGTAACTTTTATAAGTGGGTCATTTTTTAAAATGCAATATTATAATTTTGGTTTCAAAACACATTTGATCCATATACTTTTCCGATCATTTTAAACGTAACGATCAACTAGTATATAATATTTTATGTTTAAATCCTCTGGTTATTTTTGGTTCTGAAAAAAAAAGGTTAGTTTCCTATACACATAAATAAAATCTGTATCGTATTAACAATATTGCACTCTTACAAGCAAATTAGTGCAATACAGGGGTGGTTTTGAACACGGTACTAAAATTTTGGTAGACGTATTAATAGTTTTGACCATATTTGTTTTGAGTTTGACGGTGACATTAGGGATGAATCGATATTTTCAATAGTATCACAAAAAAAAAATTGACAAAATATATATAAAAAAAAGTATTAACATAATATCGCGACATAATATTTATAGTTTTAATTTTTAATTTATTTAAAAATGGGAAAATATTTATTTTTAATTTAAATATTTGTTAAGATTTTTTTTTTATTTTTTAAAGAAATATCCATCGGACTCTACATATTTTACCGCTATTTTCATGGACATTTCCATAAATGAGACCCAATATTTTTCTTTTTCGAAAAATGAGTACCATTTCATTAAAGTTAGGTGAGGCACGTACAAAAAGAAAAAGGTTTAAAAGAAAACACTCCAATCGGGAGAAAAGGATGAGAATGTTATTTATACTATATTTGAATAGGGTTATGGAGGAGAATCTTTACCTCCCCATTTTGCCCCCACCTTTTAAATACATACCTAATTTGTCCTGAAAATTTCTACAAGAGACACGGCTGTTTGAGCTAAAATGTCTGTTGAGATAACAAATCCAAAAAAATTGTGACCATTCGATGAAACAAAGAGTTTAATCCATGTAATTCAAAATCGTTTCAACAATGAACAAAATGACCAAACCCAATCAGATTTCAGAACACTCACATTCAAAGCAGTAAAGTAAAATTAAAACAATAAAAGAAGAATGAGAGAGTAAGAACAACACACAATTTATAGTGGTTCGATCCAAAATTTGATCTACATCCACTTAGTCACTTCCATTGACATTTGTTTCAGCAAGGTCTCGATTACATGATCATCTTCTAATCCAAGGCTCAATCAAACCAGAAATCAGCCTTCACAGAGTATTTGCAGCAAACTCAAATTAAAGAAGAAAACAGAGTCTCAATACCCTTATCACTGGAATTCTCTTAGCCCCTTTTCTCACATCCACGACCCTCAACCCAGTCTCCTTGTAGGTTCTGGATTCTTCTTATCTTATCCCCAATCTCAATTAATTTCCTTCTATTTACAAGAAAGGAAAAATTACAGCACTTACATAAAAAAGCACTTACATAAAAATACGTGCTTTCCGTTGGTGACACATCAGAGTTTGTTATTTCCACCAGAGCCCATGTGGAAAAATTCCACATCACACCGAAGGGAAATTGCAGGGCCCACGTCAGTATATCTGGAGTATAAGAAAAACTATTGACAATCACCAGATCTAAGCTATCAATACTCAACAATCCAAAAGAGTTGTAATTGTTGGAGTAAAAATATGTGTTGAGAGGAGTTAATCCGATGAAAAGTACACTGATGAAGAGATGCATCTATCATTCCCAACAAATCCAATCTACGCAGGAAAGGTGTTGCTACTGATGTTTGGTGTGTTCTATGCAGGAATCATGAAGAGACATCGAAACATCTATTACGGGAATGTAAGGTAACGAAAGATCTCTGGATGTCGTTTCTTTGTTCTAATCTGGGGCTTTTTTCTATTTACAGGATTGCGTGGGAAATACACGACTTTTGGGATTGGATGCTAGACAATGCTAGGGACCACGACTTAGAGAAGTTCATGCTGATTGCTTGGGAGATATGGAATTTCAGAAACAAGGTTGCTTTTCATGGGGAAATCTCGGATCATCAATCCATATTCCACAGGGTAGAAAAGTTGTTGCACGATAAAATCAATTTAGCCTCAATTAATAGATCAAAAGCAAAGAGTGGAAATCATGAAGCAATGGCCACCCATCTCAGACAAAGGAAATCTTGGGTACTGCCCAATCCCCATACCTGGAAATTGAACACCGACGCAACCTGGTCCAACGAGCTCCAATTGGGCGGCCTGGGTTGGGTACTCCGAAATTGGGAGGGCTACGTCATTTTGGCCAACAATGCCCCTGTTTGCGAGAGAAAGAGCATCAATTTTTTGGAGGCTTTAATAATTAGAAATTAGAGAAGGATTGAAGAAGACGCAACAATTGGTATCTTACCCTATCATCGTTGAGACAGATTCTTCCGAAATTGCTAGCTTGATCAACAGAACTACGGTGGATCTCACAGAGTTGAAATGGGTAGTGGATGACATCTTGTACCTCATGGACTATGTAGGGGTAATTTCTGTTTCAAAGGTTGGGAGGGTTCAAAACGAGTGTGCCCATAGTTTAAGCAAGCAAAGCGTAGAGGTTGCAAGAGAGAGAGGAGGAGTGGAACATGTGTATTCCTAATTGGCTAGAGATTTTGGCTAAGAAGGATCTTTTTTGCGTTTAATGAATTAGTTGTTTCTATAAAAAAAAAAAAAAAATAGTTAGCAGTTAGCACTAATGGGATATAGTCCTTTTAGTCTATTATTTTTGTTTTCTAAAATTAAATAAAAAAATAGTTGGTAACAATTTTCATTCCAGTTTATGAAACTTTCAATTTTTTTAATGCATAAGAAATTAAATCATTATTTGTGTGGCATTTAAACATTTAAAATTACTGTCCCTTTTTAAAAAATAAAATAAAATAATGAAAGTTTTTTTTCTTTTTTTTAGTACAAAATAAAGAAAGTTGGGAGAGCCAACTAGACATTTGTGCATGTCAAACACACATTGATAATCTATTAATTAAAATTTTAAATTTATTTATTTATATGTTAAAGTTATGCGAAAATCAGAAGAAGGTCGAGGTATGTGTTCTATAATAAATTGATCTTTCAAACTTAAGAATATGCAAACCAATTAGTTAAATATCGAAACACCAGATTGTTCAATATCTCTTAATTTTAATTTTGTAGGTTATCCATTTCAATCGCGCTCTCCCTCACTCATCTCACTAACTATATGTTTAAATTCATTGTGTTTTCAACCTAGTTAGCTGTTCCTCCCAAATCATACAACAACATAAATACGAAAAGTTCGATCTCGAGAAATCTTCGACACCAACCTTCAATCTCCATCTTAGAAAAATTTTATGAGATAACGGGTCAGGAACAGGAAAGGAATATGATCCGCTCTAAAATCATGTCTCAAAATTCTCACTATCATTTATTGAAAAAACAAATTTAAAAAACTCATCCATCGTTTCCAAGGGATTGCTTGGGTGGCTTGGAGTCTCAAAAATAACCTTGAGCTCTTGAGTTCGAGCCAAATGATCGCCGTCGACTATTGGATAATTAAAAAATAATAATAATAAAAACCACCATTATTATATTGAAACCATTATTTAATGCTTCTTTACAAAATTTGTACTACGTACTTTCACTCCCATTCCCCAAGTTCACAAGTGAATAACCCTTCCATCTTCCCAAATGTCTTTTCAATTCATAAACTTATCAACATGTATATATATATATGCATAACCTTCCATTCTTTCTTCTCACATCAATGGGAGACCTAAACACTAAAGATCAGAAATGGATCAAGCATTACAGCAGCTCCCACACGATACTCCTCTTCGGAGAAGGCGACTTCTCCTTCTCGACGTGCTTGGCCAAAACTTTTGGCTCTGCTGTTAACATGGTTGCCACTTCTTTAGACTCGGAAGGTATTTCTGTTTCTATATAATTTCTCTCTCATACATCCAATCGCGTGTAAAACGTACTCACGAATAACTTTTAATGTTGGTGTTTATGAATTTGCAATGAGAAGTGTCCCTGTGGTCCAAGTATATTCGAGTCCACACAAACTTGAAAGTTTTGGAGGATCTCGGCTGCACGGTCGTGCACGACGTGGATGCAACAACGATGAGCCAACACCCGCTTCGACCGCGTCGTCTTCAACTTCCTCCATGCAGGATTTCGTTTCAAAGAAAGTGACATTAAGCAAATCGAGTGAGTATCGCACCTAAATTATTCTCTCTAGGTCAATTTTGCTCTTCTCTATGAAAATTTATGGCTCTGCTTCTCTCGGCTAGACTCCACCGAGCTCTAGTTCGAGGGTTTTTTAGGAACGCGAAGAAATTATTGGGCGAAAATGGTGAAATTCACATCACCCACAAGACAACATATCCTTTCAGTGAATGGAAGATTGTGGAACTGGCACAACAAGAGGGTCTGCTTCTGAAAGAGAGAGCATATTTCTTGCTATGGGATTATCCAAATTATGGGAATAAGAGAGGCGATGGGTGGAATAGCGATGGCACTTTCCCCGTGGGAGCATGCGCCACTTTCAAGTTCTCATTTATTCACACAAAGCTTCAATCCCTTATCTTATGAATTTATAATTGAGCACTATATCTACAATATTATAATAATGTAACTATCATGCAACGTTGTTTTTATGTTATTTTAAATTTATGGAAAAATGCTTCATCCGACTTTTCAAAATATTTTGTTCCATCATGTTATTTAATATTGGTTGGAAAAGATACCACATGATCAATAGGTGGGGTTTTCACGAAAAATTGATATTTTTTTTTGAAAGATGGAACGTCATTCATTCAAAGAGATGGTGAGGGTGTTGTAATTACAAAAGAAGGCTGATTTAGTTGACAAAGAAGAAGCAACTGTTCTTAATTATAATGTCACCGAGTCTCAAAGAGATAGTTTGGATGACTTGGAACCTCAAAGGATATCATTAAGGTCTTGGGTTCAAGTCACCCAAGGTATGGAGACAGTGTCCATATCTTCCACGTATAGAGACATAAAGATCAAAGGGCTGCCTCCATCATCGAGGAGGGCTACACGGTCTATATAAATAAAAGCATGGAGGTGCTCAAACACACTAAAGAAATACTAAATATTAAAAAATACAAATTACAAAAAAGTAACTAAAATACGAATTAAATAAATTTTTAATTGACAAAGTGACATTGTGACATTGACAAAGTTGATCAATTAAGTAAATTTTTATACACTAAAACTATAATAATTGTGATAGTTCTGAAGACTTGAACACAAGTGCGAAGGATCGTTGAAGAGTTCTAAAACATAATTAGAACTCTTTAAATCCTTAATTATGTCACCGAAATTCGAGACTTGCATCACATGATTGGAAGAACGATGGAGTTATTAATCGGTCAAATATCATTTTTGAGGTGCACGCTTCTTGAGCATCCAAACTCTTTCAAATAGGGATGGCAACGGGACGGGGTGGAGCCCGGGAGCCATCCCTATTAATCTTCATGGATTCTATCTCAAAATCTGAGAGGGGTAGTCATTGTCTATTATAAACGTCCATTTTATATTTTCAACGTGGGATCATTAACATGTCCCTCAAGATCATGGTTCTTTAATTGGTTCATCGATCTTGATAGAATCCCATTTTTGGACCGATTGCTCATTTTAGCATTTTGTGCTCTGATACCATATTAATTTTCATGAATTCTATCTCAAAATCATTTTTTTGGACATCTCAAAACAAATTATAGGAAAATATTACTATATTAATATAAACAGTTCAAATGAGCCCATCTAATTTAAAAACCAAACATCCATATTCAATTCAATTTATAAAAAATCGGGCTGGTCAAACAAACAATAACTTTCAACAAGGTTCTGATTGAGCCTGAGCTTGGATCTCGACATTTAGGCTTTGAACTCGATGATGGAGCTAAACAACAAATATCATAATCGGTACAGCAATTTTAAATTACAAAATAAACCAGGAAAAAAAAAACTTCAATCAATGCTCAAGGAATAAGTATCATGGCTTCCTACTTAATTTGAACCCCTTCGATAACTCGATCATCATTATTCATAGTCTTTTAATTATTCATCATTATTCACTTAATTCCCAATTAGTTCCATGTGAACGTGAAGCCTTCCATCTTCCCAAATGCCTTTTCAATTCAGAAACTTATCATATATATAAATGCATAACCTGCCATTTCTTTCTTTCTCACATCAATGGGAGATCTAAACAGTAAAGATCAGGAATGGATAAAACATTACAGCAGCTCACACACAATTCTCCTCGTCGGAGAAGGCGACTTCTCCTTCTCAATTGTTTCTAAGATCGAAGTGTACATAATTATAAAAATAGATTATTTATCTCCCACCAGTGCTTAGATTGTTAAGCAACAATTGATGGCAGCTACATTCAACTTAGAAACCAAAAAATAAAAAATCTAAACAGAAAGATTAAAAGAAAAAAAAATAGTTCAAATTGTGATAGAAAAATGAGTCAAAATGAGTCATTTTATACACGAAACGAAGGAGTTACAAAACTGATCATGAGATTCTAAAACATTTGACATTAAAAAATTAAAATATACAAATTCAAAAGCATGAATAAAATTTAAAATAAGTAATTGTTCCGAGGGAGTATATGTTCACAAGAATGGAACTCAAAAGAATTGGCAGCTGAGTAGGTAGAGAAATACTCAGGGGTACGAGAAAATGTTTCATACTAATATTCGGTTTCACCAAACTCTTGGATATATTTCTTGCTAGAAGTCCAATATTGAAATAATTTCAAAGATTTAAGAAGAACTTTCAGATTAATAGACAATACGATCGGTTGCTTCTCGTAGACACCGACAAAGTCTTTGGTTCAAGTCCAATACGTCGTCCATAGATGCTTATAATTATAATATAATAACTGTTATTGTATTATTAATAGTTAATTAGATTTGAATTAGTTGTATTTGTTGGAGGATGAATGAGAAGTTGGAAATTGATATTGTGAACTTTGAGATAATGCAAACTAAACATAAATATCATAAGGTGTTTGGCAAAACACTAGACATGGATTGTAGATTGCATTCGGCCTAGCAATTCCACCAAAATCATACAACAACATATAACACATGAAAAGTCTTGAGATAATAATAGACATTAAAATTCTTTACAAGGTTGATCAAGAATGGGGAATGCATCTCCACGCAACAAAAAGAAGAAAAAAAAAAGTCTCTCTTAGTTTTCAGACATTTAATGATGATAAGGACAAGATTGGTGCTCACGAGGCAAATATTTTCTGTTGAAAAATTGACAACTCATTAATTTTTATAGAAAAATCTCTATTTTTTATTTTTCTTTCTTAATTGTCAGACATTTAATGATGGAAGGACAATATTGATCATCAACTTTAAAGAGACAAGTATTTTTCATTCATACGGAAAAGGAAAATACTTTGACTCCTTAATGGGTGAAAATCAAATCTTGTCTTTGCCACCATTGAAAAATTGACAACTCTCATTAATTTTTATAAAAAGTTACTACTTTTATATTTCTCTCTTTAATTAATAGTCGGATATTTAATGGTGACAAAGACAAAATTAACCCTCACCGTCGTAGAATATTTCATACCCACCCTTATATTGATACCATTATATTATTTAATGCCGGTTTAGAAAATGTAACTACGTACGTACTTTCGCTCCAATTCCCCAAGTTGAAGTTAATAATAATTAACCCTTTCATCTTCCAAAATGCCTTTTCAATTCAAAACTCATCAACTTATATACATACACAACCTCCCATTTCCTAATCTCACACATCAATGGAGGACCTAAACAACAGTAGAGATCAGAAATGGATCAAGCATTACAGCAGCTCCCACACCATACTCCTCGTCGGAGAAGGCGACTTCTCCTTCTCGACGTGCTTAGCCACAACCTTCGGGTCTGCCGCTAACATGGTTGCCACTTCTCTGGACTCGAAAGGTACGTCTGTTTTTATTTTCTCTCTCGTACATTCAACTGTATATAAAACCCCACTAGCCATATCGAATAATTTTTCTGAATTTGCAATTGCAAGAGTCCCTACTGAGCAAGTACACTCACGTCGCCACAAACTTGAAAGAGTTGGAGGAGCTCGGCTGCACGGTTGCGCACGACGTGGACGCGACATCGATGAGCCAACACCCACTTCTCCGACACAAGTCATTCGACCGCGTCGTCTTCAACTTCCCCCATGCTGGATTTCATTTCAAAGAAAGTGACATTAGACAAATAGAGTGAGTATATTTCATTTCAAAGAAAGTGGATTGGATTGAGTGGTGGTTTATTCATCGTTAACAATAGTCTAGTTTAATTTCCTCTCTACTAGACTTCCTCTCTACTAGACTCCATCGACATCTAGTTCGAGGGTTTTTGAGGAACGCGAAGGAATTTTTGGGCGAAGAGGGTGAAATTCACATCACCCACAAGACTGCACATCCTTTCAGCAGATGGGAGATTGTGGAACTGGCTCGAGAGGAGGGGCTGCTTCTGAAAGAGGAACCAAATTTTTTTCTATGGGAATATCCAAATTATGAGAATAAGAGAGGCGATGGGTGGAACAGCGACGGCACTTTCCCAGTAGGAGCTTGCAGAACTTTCAAGTTTGCAATTACGGATGATGATCAATCGGACTCCTCGTTTGAGGCACTGATTCAATCCCTTTGTCTTACGGAAGACATTATAGATGACCACTCTCTAAATTATTTATAATATAAAGTCGCTTTACACATCATTTATCATGCAATTTAAAACTATATCTATCTTGAATTCCAGTTAATTATTTTGGTTTTGTTTTCTTTGTTGTAGTTGTTTTTATTTTATTCTAATAAGAAAGACACGTGCACACACATGCAGATCATGCCCATATATATATTATATCGACATGCATGTTTAATATTTATTAGATGATCATGCATGTTTGATATGGGTTGAAAAGGCCAACAAAAGTTCAATTGTAATTACCATTTGTATATAAGAGGTCATGAGTTCGAATTCTCTACCCCACTTGTTATACTAAAAAAAAAATTTATATATTGATCGGAATGAGGTACTACATGAATAGGTGGCTAACAAGAAGTCTTGTGTTCCAATCATACTCTAATCAGTACTACTCAACTCAAATAACACGTCCTTCGATTATGTACATACATATATATGTATGAGTCTGCATACACCTTGATGGAGTTTAGAAAAGATCGACTAAATTCATCGAGTTGTTTCGGCCAGTTATTAATGGAATTTCTTGTCGGCTCTCTATAAAATACTCGTTTGAACAAGGGTTTCAAAATACGTTGTAAGTTAAACTCGTGTTGACGAATAACCAACCTGCAATTAATAGAAAAAGTAGAGTAATTCTATGAATGATCCAATATCAATACTAGTAATAATAGAATCTGTGCTTCTAGACATGTCGACCTCCACATATTCTTGTGCAATCAAAGGAGAATCGATTCATAAAAGAACATTTAATTTGGTCGTACAACTATTATTTTATATTTTAAAATAATATATATGATAAACTTATGTAAAATAATAATAAAATTCTTTGCAAACAAAACTAATAATAATAGAATATGTTTAATAATATATTATAGTAGTAGATTTTTATTAGAGAATCAAATATCAAGTAAAAATCTATAGTATTATATTAGTTCAGAATATTTTATTTAAATGTTATTTCATCAGTTAAAGACATTTACTAATGTTTAGGAAGGATATAACATGAGAATATGAATTATGTTAAAATTTAGCATATGAATTATGTTAAAATTTTGCGCAACGTGGTTTTGTAATTAAGACATCTTTTTTTAAGATGTCGGAATTCAATATCTCATCTCTATCCTGAAAATAAATTAAAATTTTACCTCACTCATACTAATTTAAAATCAATAAAACATGATAAATACTAAAATGATAATTAATAGTCATATTCAAATAAATTAAAATCTGCATTTAGTAATCATATCCTTTTTAATTTCAAAATTTAAAATTATACCTGTTTTCTTATCGTTAGATATGATATTTGAATTCTTAATCAAATTTATAGAAGAAGTAAAAGTTTAAAAACTACTCGTTTTTATTTTCAAAATTTAAATTTAAATATATATATATATATAAAATTAGAAACAAAAGAAATTTTGAAATGATGTGAAACTAAAATATATATTTTGAAAGTTTTGGACAGAATCATCTCATATGAAAAAAAAAATTAATAATAATAAATTGTCTTATCGTGGCCGTACACTGGAGCAAGATTGAGGAATGTACTATAAATTTGGCGTACGCGTCGCTTAAATACGTCTCCACTTTCCGCCAAAACGGACGTCGTTTCGTTTATTCACAGTTTTGAAACTCTCCCATTCCCTCATTCCCCACTCTCTCTCTTCAATGTTCATCATCGGCCGGCAACCGCACGCCGGACCGGAGGGAGACTACGACGGCGAGAAGTGGCTGAAATATTACTGCTCCAACCACGAAATACTTTTGGTCGGCGACGGAGATTTCTCCTTCTCACTCAGTTTGGCCAGGTCTTTTGGCTCTGCTTCTCACATCGTCGCTACCTCGCTCGACTCCTACTGTATGCCTCTCTCATTCTTTACTTCGTTTCTCGTTTTATGAACATGAACTTCTGTGTTTTCGGTTTGTTGAAGGATGTGAAGGAAAAACCCTCGCGTTTCGTCGTTGAGCGTTTGTTCTTTGGTTTGTTCATGTTCGTAGCTGCGATTAGAGGTTTTATCTGCTTAGCTGTTGTTTTGTTTTATTTGATTGCGGTTTTAGCATTCATGTTTTTCTTCTTAGGTGTTGTGATCAGCTTTTCGTGTTCTTTTTATCGATTCCTGTACTTTTTTTTTAATAAATGTTGCTTTCCTTCATTTAATTCTTCTTTACACGTATCGTGGTTGAGTGTTTGATTTTTAGTTTCTTCTTGTTCTTAGCTGCGATTAGAGGTTTTATCTGCACGAATGTCGTTTTGTTTTATTTCATTGCAGTTTTTGCATTCATTTTTTTGTTGTTCGATGTCATGATGAGCTTATCCTGTTCTTTGATTCGGTTCCTATATTGTTTGAATAAATGCTGTTTCGTTCATTTGATTGTTGTTTCGTGACTTCTCTTTGCGTTTCATTTAGATGATATGATCGGTGTATTGTTTTATTGATTAGATTTCTGTATTTTTGCGTTTTAGACGATGTTGTGAGGAAGTACAAGAAAGCGAGGTCTAATTTGAGGACTCTGAAGGATTTAGGTGCGACTGTATTACATGGAGTCGATGTGACTAAAATGAAGCGTCATGTCGACTTGCATATGCGTAAATTTGATCGGATCATCTTCAATTTCCCCCACGCCGGTTTCCATGGGAGGGAAGACAATGTCTTAATGATTCAGTAAATTATTTCCTTCCTCTTTTGAACTTATGATCGAAGCATTCATAAGTTCATAATACAAAACCTGATTTTGCAAATTTTCTGATGGATGGAACTGAATTTTTCAGGATGCATAAGAGGCTTGTGTATGAGTTCTTCAAGAATGCAAGCCAAATGCTGCGAGCCGATGGCGAAATCCATGTGAATCACAAAACAAAAGCCCCATTCTGCGATTGGGATATCGTCCAACTCGCCCTTCAGAACTCTCTGTCATTGATTGGATGTGCTAATTTCAACATTCAGGACTACCCTGGATATAAAAATAAGAGAGGGCAGGGCCATAGATGCGACCGTCCTTCCTATTTGGGTGAGTGCTGTACTTTCAAATTCAGTATTAACCATAGAGCCAAGAAGGCACCACGAGTAGTTCACATGAATGCCATAGAAATGCAAAGAAATCGGCCATTTCAGGAGATGCCAATCTCAAATCACTGCCATCCACATCCATATCCAAATTCATTTGAATCGAGCTACTCTCACTTCCCTACACGGAGTCATCCAGCTCCGTTCGAGCCCGATCGTTCTCGAGTAACTAATTATCCTATCAATGCACATAGTTATCAGGCACCACCACCAGTTTATTCCCTCAATCAAAGCTCTAGGACATATCATACAAACTCACTTGATACTGAACAAGCATATGCTTTTGAGGAATACCTTGTGAATGCAATTGGTGCTTTGCTTAGTAGATCTAGGACAGGAATGCCCGAGAGGACGTCGAATGGCGATGTCCATCGGACGAGCACTTTGAGGTCGGTTATATCGCGGAGTCGATCTTCCAATTGTGGTGAGGAGAGAACAGATGCACATACAGCACAGGGATTGTTTCGTCACCATTGGTAAATAGTAAGTACTCTCTGGCTGTACCAAAATGTAGTATTTGATAGGCCACCATATGTTGGGATTGTGAAGCTTTTGTTATTTTTTTGATCAATGCCTGATGCTTGCCTGCTTGTTAGTTTTGTTTTATTTGGGTGTTCATATACATCGGTGAACATTTTTACTTTTCTTTTTGACATGTTTGCATGGCTAAGAAGATGAGACAGCTCTAATTATATTAAATTGATCGCCGTTTCGAATGAGCATGTAGAAATTTGTACTGAGTGTAAAGATGTCTTAACTATTAAGTTAAATGTTTATTTGCTAATTTAAGTATAACTCAATGGGTTAAAGTATAGTCGTGTATATTGGAATTTAGAGTAGGATAGTTGTGTATATTGGAATTTAAAGTAGCATGTTGAAATATTTTTAAGTTTATGTTAAACAATTATATATCTCTCAGATTGTTAATGGGGGCTTTCTTTTTATAATGCTTGCTTATTTTGAGATAAAATATCTTTCCCATTAATTCCTTCGTTAAAGTATTTTGTTTTGGTAGCAATTTGCAATGATCCCAGTTGACCTTCTTCCTTAATTCTAGGAAATAAATAATAAGCAAATTATCGGATTATTTATTTATTTAGTCTAACACGTTGAAATTCTAGACGGATTTACTCAAATAATTATATTTCAAATAAAAAAGTAGAAAAACACGCACACACTGCACACACTGCACACACAATATATATATATATATATATTTAATTGGTTCAATTAATTATGCTGAGTAAATAAAGAAAGGTTTGGAAAAATAAATTCAAACTTACTCTCAACTACATCCAACGTTAACTTCCTCTCCCCTCTCTCCCTCTTCTTTTATTCTTCTATTGAATTTCTCTATCATCTCAGCCTTTCTCTCTAATTAAAGTGAATTAAATCATTGAAAGTGGATTTAATCTAATTCAATTATGTTTAAAAAGTTCAATTTTGATGGAATTGAATTATTGGATGTGATTAAAAATTAAAATATTTTGTTTAGAATGAAACTGCTTTTGTTTTATTTTATTTCATTGAGTATTATTTTGGACTTTTTATCTCCACCTAACGAATTATATTTTTTTATTTGATAAATTATATAATTATTATAATTATTAGATTTGTTATTTATAAACATATATATATATATATATTATAAAGTTTATTCATTAACATATCTAATGTAGGTTGTATATTTAATTTTTAATCTTTTTTAATTTTAATGGGAGTGTTAATTCATTTAATAAAAGTAATCAATTCATTTTATAATTTTA